CCTGTCCTGTCGTTAGGTTCATGTGTGTCAGCTGTGCTCCCATGTGTGGCCACTTCCCCTGATCATCCCTCATGTGTATTTAGTCTCTGTGTTTCGTCTGTGTTCCCACCCTCTGTGTTTCCATGCCCAGTCTTTTGTATTCCCAGCCATAGCCTTACCATAGTTTGCTCCCAGTTTAGGTTTCTGTTTAGTTACTGCTCTTGTGCTGCCCTCATTCTTTTTTGTTTGTTTTATGATCATCAGCCACAATAAAAGGCTCGCTTTTGTTTAAGTTCACTCCCGTATCCTCACTTGTGTCTGCACCTGAGTCCTCCACACACTCTCCACACGGTCTGCCATAGCGGACCGTGACAGATAATAATATTATTGCATAATACTATTATACAGATGCTGCCAATAAGTGTGCTATTTAAAAAAGGAAATATACCATTGTGTTTATAATACACAAATAACTTCAGAAGTAACTGTGTAAATATTCTTTAATGTAATAATCCTTAAAAATCGTAATCATTTTTGGTTATCATGAGAAAATTGTTATTCTTTGGGCCACCATCATCATGCTTTAAACACGAGCACCCTAAATGATAATAACAGTGATGATGCTGGAAACAAAGCATTTCCTTACTTGTTGAGTTCTTTCATGAAGATTTCTATGGACTCTCTGCTGGCGTCCACCACCTCCAGGATCAGGATGATGTCATATCGAGACACAATCTTTGAAACAGAGAGAAAAAAAGCTGAACTGATCAGATGCGTTACTACCTTAAAGATAATTGTTCAGTTAAGATTTAGCTCTTCCAGATATGTAAAATATAAACTGACATTTTTCTATGTTTTTAAAAAAAATACTTATGTAAATATTCTGAGTTGCAACAATAAAGCTGAAGAGGTATCAAAAAAAGACAGAGATGGGAACAATCAGAGAAATGCTGAGTGACTTAAATTGTGTGTTTATAGAGGTAATGGTGGTTCTGTGAATGAAGGGCAAGCTGCCACTGAGCGTGGTTACTTGAAGGGACAACAGGCCAGTGGATCCACGTTTAAATTAACACACCCTGATTGTGTGTTTGCTATTGTGGTTTCTAAACAGCCGACACTCAGGGCGGCTGACCTGTACAGTGGCTTGTTGACTAAATATGAAACAGATCTAATACAATAACAATAATAAAACATGGGTTTAAGCAAAGAATTGGAAATGTAACCTCATCACCAGAATAAAAGTAAAGTAAAACCCAGTGATTCAATGATACAGCAAGAAACCACAAGTCAAAATACAACTTACTCCATGTATTTCAGTATATTTTCAGATGCATATATAGGATTACATTTTTACTTATACAGTGAGTCCTGATACTTAGTTTACCACTTTGCAACTCAGCTATTTAATAGAAAGTTTTTATATAATACTTAATTACTTAAATACTTAATAATTGGTAGGAGGGCTGGACTACTTTTCTACATTGTTATCGCCCTCGGTCTTCTTATGTGACAAAAAGCCAAAGCATACTATTTTGTCACATGATCAGACATTTTAATGAAAGCAGGAGCCAGACCTGCAGGTCATTTACAGTTTTGTAAGGTGAAAGTATGTGTGGGCTTTTATACTGGTTATTACCTTAGTCAGGATTTTGAGGACATCAGGGTCTGACACTTTCTTCTTTCCAAACTTCTGAATGTTAAAAGATGCTATTTTCATGATGGCTGCAAAAAGAGGACAAGCATAGCAATCAGAATTATTGTCTGAAGGCCAAGAAAAATTCCCAATAGATTTTCCCATTTTTCCAAGTGGACCATTATTGCTTTTGCCATACTGGTCCACTTGATTGTCATAGTTTGTTCAATCTACCCGAGCACCCAGCCCCGGACACTGAGAACCACCAACGGGTGGGAGCAACAACCACTTGCAGCGAGCGTAGTTGGGGAAGATAGGCATTGTATAGGAATTTCTTTTACTTATGTATTAATCACATTATTTTATCATATAATGCCTTGGTGCCACTGGATTTTAACATATCTCACACTCATACAGTAAGACAAATGGTGGGGTCTAGTAAGGATGTTGGGGGAAGCAGACAGCTCAACAGAAAGAAACCTTTGTCTCTTTGAGGACTCTGGGAGGTAGCAAGGGAGTGTGAAACAGCTGTGTACTTCCTTTTGTTCCTGAAGAAGGTATTTAACTGGGAACCATGTTAGGCTCAGTTATACTCATCCAACATGGAGGCACACAGAACTAAACACTGCACACACACTCATACTCCCCAAAAATACTCTGTACCCCAAGGTCCAGGGACCCCCAGAAGCGCAATCCACCCCCAGACCCAGGAAATGGTTCCATTTACTCTGGGGTGGACACAAGCAGACTGCCCCCAGTCCTGCAGCAGCAGGAAGGCCCAACAGCCCAGACCCCAACCAGACGGCCAGCTCCTTCTCCCGCACCCTGCCCCAAATAGCGCACAGAGAATGGGGTTATGAAGACCCCATACAAGGGGCATGGTACCAATGACCCTCTGTCAGATAGCAGCTGGCCTCAGCACGGCCCCTCCTGAGAACCCTCAATGTCTACATGTATTTAAAATTGAGAGGTGGGCACTTGCACCAAAGGTGAGGCTGAATAAACTCACTCTGGGCAGCTTTCCCAATCGGCTGAGGCCTTCATGAAACACTACAAAGTTCATATTTTCTGCAAATAACCCATGTTTTTTCCCCACGGGACAATTTAAATGTTTGATAGTTGTTTGAGTTGTACAACAGGTGTATTCACCTTTATGGAGAAACTGATAGGATGGACATAAATACATAAAATAATTAATGAAATCAAGTATGAAAGATTAACCTGAAATAAGTAAAAGAAAATCTTGTTCAGACTCCAAAATACATGAATACATTTTAACCTGTTTTTAAATTAGTGTTTGATTAAATCAGATGATTTTTTTCTGTGTTTATTTTTATTTTTAGTCGAAATTTATCTTTTGATTTTAATTTTTCTATTGCATTTGTTTTTCTTATTTGAGGACCTTTCTAAACAACATTAAACATTTTGGAGTTTGTTTTTTTGCTGCTGCTGACATATTTTAACAAATCAGTAAGCTCTTCTCAAAATCCGCCCTACTGAGATCCCTCACATTAGTGTGAGGAATGAAGACAGGAAACCTGTTCTAACAGGTTCAGTCTCCGTCTTTACAGCACTGCTTTCCAAAGCCCCGTCTCCGTTGAGCTGAGTCTATACCTGCAGCTTTACATCAATACTGCACCTTGAATACTCTATCAGTGACTCATATACACTTTGTCCTAACCCACGTACCAGCCAACAAATGTAAAAGGAAATTAAAGGGTTTACTAGAAGTCAAAACACAGTGGGTGTGACACTGACTCCATGCAGCAGTTGTGAGTCTCCAGTGATGCCTTTTCCTGCCAGATATGCTCCTTATAGAAGCAGCTTCTTCAGTTTAACCATCAGCTGTAGGGAGTTTTAATCATTAGAATTAAAGGATCTAAGCCATCATATATGGTTTTAAATAAAGACTTCAGGTCATGTACAAAGAATGTTTACGACCTAAACACTTTCTACCCTTTCATCAACATGACATTAATCAGAGATGATACTCCTAATATGACTCCTTCCATTTGCAAGGTGCAGCCAATCAGAAGAGAAGTTGAAATAAGTTGATTCAGACAGGGGATGAACAGAGGAGCAGCACCGAGGCTTAGCACAAAAATAAATATGGATTATTTTTAACTGAATCATGCAAAGCTACACATACAAGAAGTAGTTGATGCGTCAGCTCAACAACAGTCTAGAGAATCATCTGTACTGTGACTGATACTTGCACCTGACATTTACTGTGCTTGTTGTGTCTTTTTAACTACATTTATTAAACTATGCCTAATATGTGTTTCCTCATTCGATTTATATAACTATTTTGATTTTTAACTTTGTTACTCTAGTGTTTCTTTCACTTTGGTTCGTTCCATTTATAAATCTATTCTGACAAAGGCTGCATTCAGTTTTTCTTTTGGTATAAACGTAATACTTTAAGTACACAAGGACAAGTTAGAAAACCTCTAAGTAAAAAAAAAAAAAGTTAGGTATGTTAGCACAGAAAAAAATGAGGCAGGTGTCTTGTTGTGATAGGGTGAGGTGCTCATCCTTTCAGGACTGCCTTTGAGCAGAGTTGGTTCTGGGTACTCGACTAGCCTGCACGCCTCCTAGATGTTTTGGGCATGTCCAAGTGGAGCAGACTGAGGACACGCTCTGCAGAATACATCAGCTGACTTGGGGAATCCTTCGAAACGCTGGAGTGTGTGGCGGGGAGAAGGAGATCTGGAGAGGCTCAGACTCAGCTAATGGTGGAAAACTAATAAACAAAATACAGAATGAACAGTTGTTCACAGGCCTGAGTATGAGTCCACACACATCAGGGTGGATATTAACTGTCAGTGTTCCCGCCCTGGCGCCACTTATTGTTTCCAAGTTGTGGTTTAACCGAGCACAAAAAAATGTTGTCGGACTGGTTTGCTTTTGTGCTCCTATTTAGACACCCGATCAGAAGAGATTGCAGCTGATAACAGCTGCAACAAAGCAAGCAACCTCAATCCTGATGATGTTTTGGTAAAAACTGGGAGAAGGTCAAGGGTTCGAATCCACTGAACGCCTACCCTGAGGCACCCATGAGCAACGTACCGTCCCTACACACTGCTCCCCAGGCATTACATTGGTGGCTGCCCACTGCCTCACTGTGTGAATGGGTTAAATGCATTTTTCCACCCAGCAGTGGTGGTAAACTCAAAACAAGACGCAAAAAGAAACTATATCAAAATGGACCATGACAGAAAGACCAGCACTCATTTCCTGTTTCAGACACCTGCTCAATGATGACCAAGGCGCACTAACGCCAACAAAGTATCAACTACAACCCAAATAATCTCCTCTCCTTAAACTTGTCCAGGTTTTTTTCCTACTAACCTAAAGGAGCACTTACCAAATCTTTTTTTGCAGTAATACGTCAGTTAGAGGGCAGGTTCAAATGTGTTCTTGGGTCATTTCGTTTGGAGACTTGTCGGTGGTTTGCACCAATCATGTGTGGTTCTCCCTCTGGCTGCATGGATTTTTTATTGGGTACTCTGGCTTACTTCCTTCCTCCCTAAGAAATTCATTCTAAATTAGCCATGTGAATGTGACTGTAAGTGATTATCTGCCTCTTTGTGTTGGCCCTGTGATTACAACCAAGCCAGAGCATACCCTGCCTCTTTTCCCACAATCCTGAATTTGATAAGTAAATTTAATCAAATGGATTTGTATATTTGTATTTTTACTGCTCTGTGTAAGTTCACACTGAGATATTTATAATTCCTGCTGGACTCCTTTGTTTTTTTCTTTACTTGACTTTGACATTTGTTTTTCTTGCGCTTTTACCTTAATTTCCTACATCTTGGCCTCTTTCATGAGCCACAGTTTGTTCCACCTCTATTTAACATTGTTCATTAAAAGCTTTCATTAAAAAACAAAAAACAAAAAAACAAAAACAGTTATGTATTCATAATAGCAGAAGGAGTCATTGTACTTTGGTAGCCTTTAAAAGGATTGCCATGGAAAAACAAGACGACACATGGTAATGACAAGGTAAAGGAATCAGGTTTGAATTCGCAAGACAGAGCTCATCCTATTACTCTACCATGACATATTTGCTTACATTATGTGGCAGTCTCCAAGCAGTGTGACAGGCTCCTTTAAGTGAAACCCACTGATGGGTGGGCGAAGCTCCACCTCTAACCGCAGGACCAAAAAACACAGGAAATGTATTTCTCTCAGCTATTGTTCACTGGAAGAGAGGCTCCAACTGAGAGGAAAGGGGAAATAATTCTTCACAGCAGAAGTAAACGTAACACAGCATCGTAATCCTGCATTTCAACCTGCCTTTGACTGAAGAAAAACAAGCAAAGAGAAAGTGAAGTTGAACTTCCTCCTTTCATGCTCTGCGCTGTAGCTTTTTACTTTCAACTGAGAACGAGAGAATGGCTTATAATCCAGAGAAGGACCTGTCCTGTCCTATCTGCCACGACATCTTTGATATTCCTGTCGTCCTGGCATGCAGCCACAGCTTCTGTAAAACCTGTGTGGAGACCTGGTGGAGAGACAAACCCATAAAAGAATGTCCGGTTTGTAAGGAAAGACCTTTGCTGGGTGAGCCACCGGTTAGTTCAGCCTTAAAGAACCTGTGTGAGGCCTTCTTACAAAAGAAAGATCAAAATGCTTCTGCATTCTCTGAAACTGTTTGCAGTTTGCACCATGAGAAACTGAGAGTCTTCTGTTTGAATCATCAGCAGCCAGCGTGCCTCGTCTGTCGAGATTCAAAAATACATCTCGGCCACAGCTTCAGACCCGTTAACGAAGCTGCAGAAGATCACAGAAAGGATCTCAAGGAATCCTTGAAACCTTTACAGGAGAAACTGAAAGTGTTTGAAGAAGTTAAAGAAAAGTTTGATGAAACAGCAGAATACATTAGGGTCCAGGCCCAGCAGGCAGAGAAACAAATTAAGGAGGAGTTTAAGAAGTTGCATCAGTTTCTACAAGATGAAGAGGAGGCCAGAATCACTGCTTTAAAAGAGGAAGAAGAGCAGAAGAGTCAAATGATGAAGGGAAAGATTGAAAGTCTGAGCAGAGAGATAGCCGCTCTTTCAGAAATAATCAGAGCCACAGAAGAGGAGCTGAGAGCTGAAGATGTCTCGTTCCTGCAGAACTACAACGATGCAGTGGAATTAATCCAGCAGTGCCCTCTGTTGGATGATCCAGAGCTGGCCACAGGAGCTCTGATAGATATGGCCAAACACCTGGGCAACCTAACCTACAACATCTGGAATGAGATGAAGGCGATAGTCTCCTACTTTCCTGTGATTCTGGATCCAAACACAGCTCATCCAGAGCTCATCCTATCAGAAGATCTGACTGGCGTAAGAGCTGTTGAGGGGCATCAGCTTCCTGACAATCCGGAGAGGTTTGGCTGCTATTGCATTGTCCTGGGCTCTGAGGGCTTTGACTCAGGCACCCACAGCTGGGATGTTGAGGTTAGAGACTCTACAGGCTGGGTCTTGGGTGTAGCAGCAGAGTCTGTACAAAGAAAGAGTGAAATAAAATCTGGACTTTGGCGGATAATTGGGCTAACTGAAGATAAATATGGAGCATGCTCCCCATCACAACACACCTTTATTCACCCACTGAAGGAGTTCCAGCGGATCAGAGTTCATCTGAACTGGGACGAAGGAAAGCTGTCATTCTCTGATCTCGATACTGACACACACATACACACCTTCATACACACTTTCACGGAGAAGCTGTTTCCATACTTCATCAATAAGAAAGAACACCAGCTAAAAATACTTCCGCTGAAGGTTTCTGCAACAGTAAAACTGCTTAATCAATGAAAATGATGGGATTATCAAATACTATAGGTCATTTTATTTACCTATTCAAAGATCTTTTCTTTGTTCTTGACTTCTGATGAAGCTAATATTGAAAGCATGCTAATGTTACTTAAACGACACATGCTTAAGATTTTGTACTGAGTTTGATTAGGTCAGATCATTTTGTATGGTATGTTAGGCTGGGAAAGAAAAAAACGTCTGAGTTGAATATGATGTCAATTACTATAATGGACATTTCACAATAAAATTCACATCATGTAAATATATTTCTTTCAGTAATGTTGTATCTAATGTACGTTAATGTAAGCGACTAGCTTATTTGGATTTTGGTATGTATGCCTTCTGGTCCACTAGCATTTTAGATAGCAGCTAAATTGCAACGTGCATGTCTGGTAGCATTGGCAATTTTTAAAACAAAAAGTTGGGCTATAGCAAATGCTTTTGTTTTGTTTTTGTTGTAAAATCAAAGGATTTTTCATTATAAAATGTTTTCAATATTTGTTTGTGTTAGTTTTACAGTGGCTCAATATTCATTTGATACAATAAAGGGATGGCATCTCATTTCACCACAAAAATCAGTGTTGGCTAATACTGATCATGTATTAGTCTGCTGATGTTTTAAACACTTTGTGGTTCAAGTAGCTTTACAATTGTCCATCCATCCGTTCCACTTATCCAGGTCAGAGTGGTGTTGTGGTGGGGTGTATGTCAGGCTCCACCACAACACCACTCAGCCAATGCTATACACTAAGTATGAAGCATTAGCTTATGAGTTTGCACCCCCTACGGTTCTCTGTTCTGTAATTTCCATTTATGTATTTATTCTATGGTGTGTGTTTCTTATAATCTCTCATGCATACTGTATGTCTTGACAAGTGTGTGTATGTGGTGGGGCTGATGTTACATACTTACATAAATATTGTCATGAATAGCAGTCTGAAGACAAACCAGACTTGTGGTTGTGGCAGGAACATTTCTTATATCTCATGTTATATCATTATAAGCAACACAAGCTTCTTCGCTAAAGCAATGGTAGCAAGTTTAACTGTAAATAAATATCTGTAGCTTCATTGTGTTTTATTTATTTATTTTTAATTTTTATTTTTTTTTATCAACCAATAGTTTTCCATTCATACGCTTATCTTTTATTCAACTTTTGAAGAATCTGTGCATTCCAGTGATAAAATAGCCAAACAGAAAATCCAAGAAGGTGAAGTAAAATTTGGGCGAAGAGATTACTTCTTCTTCTTTGGACTGCTCTTTTTAGGGATCCTCACAGCAGATCATCTAATCCTGTCTCTAGCACCCTCTTCTGTCACACCACTGCTGCTGACAGTTTCAATTTCTAGTTTTTCCAATTCAATTTTTATTGACAGACTTTATGTCCATAGTCCAAAAAAAAAAGAAGAAAAAAGAAACAAGACAAAACACAACATATAAACCTTAATAAAAAAATATTAAATATTTGTAAAAATATAAAACCATAATATACATAAAATACACAATTACTTAGAAGAAATCAATAAATACACAAACACTTCAGCCAGTGCTTCCTCAGACTAGATGAGTAACTGGAACCACTCACCGTCGGATCTGTGAGTGCTAAAATTATACTGTTACTAGAGCCATCCAGTTGTTCCCTAAAAGTGAACATCAGATTTCTTAAACGTGCTTTAAAAATCCAAACACCCACAGCTACAAACATCTGACTGGCACTGCCGCCTCTAGGTATCCTACGAAGGATTCTCATTGCATCATTATATGCAACATGCAGGTTCTGCGTGTCTGTGAAGGTTCTCAGTCATCCAGGTCATCGTAGTCTAAGGAGCTTGGAAAGAAAAGCGTCTGGACTTCTTTAAGTTGCTTGAAGACGTTTCACCTCTCATCCGAGAAGCTTCTTCCGTTCTAAGGTCAAATGGCGGAGAGTCCCAGATTTAAACCCAGTGGGAGTTTCCCCCCAAAGAGGGACAAAAGGACCCCCTGATGATCCTCTACCTAATCACATGAGCAAAGGTGTGAAAACGGGTGTGGGTCACAATTTCAGGTGAGCTCATTGTGAAAACTGGCCCCACCCTATCATGTGATTTCCTGAGGTCAGATGGCCCAGGATGTGAGTGGGTGTTAAGGCGTTTGGGAAGGGATCCCAAAACTGGATTATAGATGGCAGACAGTTGGTGTCGTAAACCCCCGCCTCTGTTCAAAGATGGTCGCTCACAATGGACATAAATGGCTTCTTTCACTCCTCTTTCAAACCATCGGTCTTTTCTGTCCAAAATGTGAACATTAGCATCCTCAAAAGAGTGACCTTTGTCGTTAAGATGCAGATGGACAGCCGAGTCTTGTCCTGTGGAGGTGGCTCTTCTATGTTGTGCCATGTGCTTGTGAAGTAGGTGTTTGGTCACTCCAAGGCAAACAGTTGTCCTTTGTGTCTTCCCTGGTGAACTTGATGTTTTTATCCATGTGCGTTAATGTGCGCAGTGAAGGATTCCACTTCTTGTGTTTTGAGTTTGACCCAGGTGTCGTCTACATATCTGTACCAGTGGCTGGTGGGTGCTCTCCCTTTAAAAGAGCCAAGAGCCTTTCTTTCCACTTCCTCCATGTAAAAGTTGGCTACAAAAGGTGACACAGGGGAGCCCATGGCACAGCTATGTTTTTGTCTGTGGTGGTAAAGCAGAGGTCTAACTGTGCAAATCTGATCGGGTGTGAAGTTGCAGCATGCTACATTGTTTGTAGGATGACCACAAGGGGGCAGTATATAGCAGTGTGCAATATGCTTTAAACAAAGCCACTTTAACTGGAAGTGAACAAAAGCTGAATTTGCGTGCAATAATATTTGCCTGCACATAGAGCTTACAACATTGTCTATATATGTCATCATCATCATTCATCATTCTCAGCTGTATGGACAAATCATCAACATATAAATTAAATAAAATTGGAGATAAAATCCCACCCTGTCTGACACCATTGCTAACACCAAAGGGGGCAGAAATACTGCTTTCCCATTTAACCTGCATCTTCTAATGAGTGTACCAGCAAGACAGAATCCTCACAATGTATCGAGGAACTCCCTGTTGCTTCAATTTATCAAGAAGTTTTCTGTGGTTCGCTCGATCAAAAGCTTTAGAGGCATCAATGAAACACATGAGGACAGATTAATTTTTGGCCCTATTCTTTGAGTGCATATATGCACATCCCAGTGCTTTTGGAGCCAAACTGATTTTCCAGGGAAGAGATGAACACACTATCTCTGTCAAACAAGATTCTTTCTAGCACATTAGATAAAATACTGGCTAGTGCAATTGGCCTATAATTATCCAGACAGCTCACTTTTGCAGCTTTATCCTTCATAACTGGTACAAGTAAAATACACAGCATGGAGTCTGGTAGTACTCCACGAATCATAAACCCAGTGAAGCAGAGCGCTAGAAGAGGAGCTAGTCTTACACTATCATGTTTTATTCTTTCAGCTGCAGACTCATTGCAGTTTAAGGTTTGACAGTAAATATGTAACTGAATTCAAACATAGGCTTAATCTGGGTGCAAATTTGATATGAGGCCAGGAAATACAGCATATGTGTCCTGTTTTAGGATCATATAGCCTATTAGACTAATGTTTACAGAAAAATAAAACTGTAGTAAAATTGTTTGCTGCCAACAAAAAAAATAGATGCAAATTTATTCCTTGATTTAAGAATCTATCTTCATTACTGATGCCTATCAGGGAAATGCAAAAACTTTAAACCCTCTTCCCCTCCCCACAAAAGTCTGAAGGAACTTCAGGAAGGGTGACACTATTTTCTGGAGAATTGATTGGTAAATACGCAGTGATTTCATATCTGCTGACCTCTAATGTGAAACCTAATCTGGTCCAGAGCAACAGCACAAGTTACAGTGGTGTTCTACAATGGTAAGAAGTGAACCACCATCATAGTACAGAAAAGCCCGGGTTAAGACTAACAAGGAATCCTGCTTCAAAGCACAGGCCTCAGCTCATTTTCTCTTCTTTTTTTGGCAGTTATACTTCTACAGCATGTTTGCAGAATTCTCCTATTATCATTTAAAAATACTTTGTCTTTCTCTTCAAATGTCCCTGGAATTGCATAAAACTATAAGTTGGTGCTACATTTCATACCTTACCTGAATGCAGCAGAAATAAGTGCCTAACCTACTTCTATTTTAGTTGTTACCAAAAAGGGGAGGAGCTTCTTTTGTTGGTCTTGTCTAATACAGAAACTATATTTAAGGTGCTGTGCCCTGACATAGTGGCTTAATGTCTGACACACATTACCTGGAAAAACGTCACCTAAGAAATACCTGGAAACGGTTGTTGCTCATCCAGTAGGGAGAAAGAGACACGCCCTGAGAGGGAGAGAACGATTATCTCATTCAGATCAGACACACGACTTCCTGAGGGGGGAAAGCAACAGCAGCAAATACTGTGAGTACTGCAACTTTAAATTGCTATCCCATCTGTGATTCTAAGAAGGAAAAACAAGAGACTGGGATCTTCCGGGAACTTTCTGGAGGAGTGAGATTAGCCACGAATGACTGCTGTCGTATTGTGCTTTCTGCCTGCCGTGTTTTCAGCTTCAGTGAGATAATGGCTTTCCAGTCTGAGGAGGACCTCTCCTGTACTGTCTGCTTGGATATTTTTAAAGATCCTGTTGTCCTCTCCTGTAGCCACAGCTTCTGTAAAAGCTGTCTGCAGACATGGTGGTGTGATAAAACAGTACATGAGTGCCCTCTTTGTAAAAGGAAATCATCGAGGAGTGACCCACCTCGAAACCTGGCATTAGCAAAGGCGTGTAAGGCATTTCAAATGGAGAGAGATCAGAGGGTTTCTGTGGAGTCAGAGGCTCTCTGTTGCCTGCACTCAGAAAAATTCAAACTCTTTTGTCTGGACCATCAGCTGCTGGTGTGTCTTATCTGCAGAGACTCAAAAATGCATACCAACCACAGGTTTAGACCCATCCAAGAATTTGCACAGGAACAAAAAAATGGGCTCCAGAAATCCTTGAAGCCTTTACATGAGAAACTGAAAGTATTTGAACAAATTAAAGAAAAGTGTGATAAAACAGCAGAACACATTAAGGTCCAGGCTCGCCACACAGAGAGACAGATTAAAGAGCATTTTAAGAGGATGCACCAGTTTCTACAAGAGGAAGAGGAGGCCAGGATCACTGCACTGAGGGAGGAAGAGGAGCAGAAGTTTAAGACAATACAGGAGAAGATTGAAAGTCTGATCAGAGAGATAGCAGCTCTTTCAGAAACGATTAGAGCCACGGAGGAGGAGCTGAAAGCCGAAGACGTCTCATTCCTGCAGAACTACAACGATGCAGTGAAGTTAGTCCAACAGCAGCCCCTACTGGATGATCCAGAGCTGGCCACAGGAGCTCTGATAGATGTGGCTAAACACCTGGGCAACCTGACCTTCAACATCTGGAACAAAATGAAGAAAATGGTCTCCTACTTTCCTGTGATTCTGGATCCAAACACTGCCAACCCAGAATTTATCCTCTCTGAAGATTTGACAAGTGTAAGTCACGGAGAGCGACAGAAGCTTCCCGAAAACCCAGAGAGGACTGATTATCATCGTTCTGTCCACGGCTGGGAGGGCTTTAACTCAGGGACCCACAGCTGGGATGTTGAAGTGGGAGACAACACAGCCTGGTTTGTTGGAGTGGCAGCCGAATCCATTCAGAAAAGGGAGCGGGTAAAATCAGGATTCTGGCAAATCGAGTTCTACAATGGTAAATACAGCACACGCATACTGGGAGCCCCACCGTCTGCTCTCCGAGTAAAAAAGAAGCTGCAGAGGATCAGAGTTCATCTGGACTGGAACAGAGGAAAGCTGTCATTCTTTGATCCTGATACTGGCTCACACTTACAGAGTTTCACACACTCTTGCACTGACAAGCTGTTTCCATGCATAGGTACTTTAAACGACATGCCACTGAAGATATTGCCAGACAAAATTTCTGTAACAAGGGGATTATCTCAGTTAAAGTTTGTTGTGTTTGATAAGCAGATGCATTGTCCTTCTGTGCGTGGACAGACACCAAGGTAATGTGTCAAAGTATCACACACATGACCCAGAACCTAAGGTTTCTCAGCAGAAAACTGCAACGAAATGAGAAGATTAATGGTTTTCTCACCACCCGTAAGTGGTTTTAATGTTACTAATGTTTGCATGCTGTAAAATCTGTAGACTTGACCCCCCAGAAATCAAGAAGTGGGAAATTCTGCCTGCGTTTCAATCATGTTCAAAGTACTTATTTACCTACTTAAGAAGGATAATAGCTGATTTATCCTACAGCAATAAATGAATGGGGTGTATTGCCATGAACAGCTTTGTCAGGTTTGTTTTGAATTAATGAGGTGTAAACCATGGTATATTGGAAAACTAGTACATCCAATAACAGTATTGAAAAGAAGAAAAACTCTGTGAAGCAAGATATGCTGGAATTCAAATGCAAGGCTAACATTATGCTAATGTAGACATATGCACTTTTTCTTGTTTTTATAACTCGGTTCTGATCATCTCTCTACAACCCACATTTCAGAAAAAGTAACGGTTGCTTAAGGTTTGTCATTTTCAAGTTAACATTATCAGCACAGTTTCTCTTGTGATGTCGGGTGGCTGTAGCTCAGGAGGTAGCGCCGGTTAACGACTAGTTTCAAGGTTAGTGGTTCAATCCCTGGTTATTCTAAACTGTATGGATGCTACCCAAGAATGGGTAAATGGGGCAAGTTGCATACGGTACTTTGGGTGCTTAGCTAGAATATAAAAGTTCTATATAAGGTCCATGTTAGGGTGATAGAGACACATAGATATAAAGACATCATTTACTACAGCACGGTTTCAACAACAGTGTTAACAATTAAGCTGAAAAGAGGCAATAATGTAGCATACTGAAGTAAAACTACTCTACTTAAAGTTAAATGCACTTTTTATTACTTTAGTTCAGATAATTAGAATACACTTTTTAATGATGTGCACCATACACAAGTTGTTTGTACTTGTAGAAACTATACAACATGTTAAAACACCCAGAACTCACTGTTGTCTCATCTGTGTGCCCCATACACAGCACAAATGTGTGTATCAATTATGTGACAGACCTCCTCTGTTTCTATCCTATGCCTAATTTGCTGTATTTTTAGTAACACTGGTTTCATTAGCATTTGAATGATAAAATGTAACATGAACTTTGACTGGTAGTCATTGATCGCTGCAGAAGTCTTGGAGTCTTTTAGTTTGTTTTAATCTGATCCAAATCAGCGTATGAGTTTGCAAAACTTGGAACATTTTCCTGGTGTTTGGTTTTGCAGAAAAGTCCAGGTGGACAACCAACTGAACTGTATAAATTTTGTGGCACGTTCAGTCCGCTTATTGGCAACGAACACAGGATTATGTGGTGTTCTGGGCCCTATTGCAGGAAACATGTTGAACAGTCTTTGAGCTGCTTCCTGGAAAAAGAGCCCATGCCCGGTGGATTACATGTGATGCCTTTATTTATTTTATGGCTAGTTGGTACAGTCTATGCATTCTGCACATCCGAAAGAATAACATTTTAACATAACTGGCTTCTTTTTACATACATGTTCTGAAAAATAGCTCAATATAACCAAGTCAGCTTGAAAAACTAGCATGGGTTTGGTAAATACACTTATAGAGTAAGTGCATTGTTTCCTGCTTGTCTGGTGCCATTTCATAAAATGACCACATGGGGAGGCTGTAGACTTTTTCATTTTCATTTAAAGCCTTGGTTGTCACTGAGACTTTATTGCAGTCAACGGACACTTATATAGGTACATCTTACTGATACTTTGTTTTGTCCATATTAATGTGACAGCATCATGCAAATTGCTCTCGGTTCTCCTTTGACCTCTGACATCGACGAGGCAGTTTTACTCCTGCTCACTGGACATTTTCTCTTTTTTTGGACCATTCTCTGTAAATATCAGGGATGGTTGTGTGGGAAATTCCCAGCATATATGCAGTTTCTGAAATTAGCCTGCCTTAAATCCCCTTTGTTTCCTATTTTGATGCTTTTTTTTTCAGTTCTCACAGATGGGACAGACATGGCTGGGGGATAGGAAAGGGAGAAAGAAGAATGAAGGAAAAGAAAACCAGAGGGGATGAGGGACAGTGAGAAAGGACATTTAAAAATATATAAATCTCCTCAATTAACCGTTGAGAGAAAAAAAAGGAAAAAAGAGAAAACAAGCAAAAAAGAAGAGAGCGGCATAATAAACACAACACCATCGCATTAATAGCTAACAGCAAATATCAGTAAATACTAAATATTGAACGATGTTGTGCTGCACGCAGGACCGACTGCGTATAATGTGCTTTTGAAACAGCAGCCAAGAAAGGTGTAGTTTGTGTCTGTGAACAGTGAACAGTGTGGATCAGCACACTTGTTTCTCCACGTAACGATCTGCTAGAGGGTATTCTGACGCTTGACTTGAACTTCAGAAGGCAGTTTTGACCTGTGTCTACATGATAAAACGCTTACAGGTTTTGACTTGCTGTCATGTGATTGGCTAATTTTAACTTTAACAAGAAATGGGAAAATGTACAGAAAAGTGAGTTTACATGTGCGGCGTTTGATTTGCACTTTTTGAATTTTATACAATTGGTGGGTGTGTGTGAAAAAAAGTTTTTTTTCAAAATGGTTAAGAATAAACATTAAAGGTGTCTTTGTTGTTTTCTGTAGTTATTTTTGCACCACATATCTGTTTTTTAAATACTTTTCTTATACATCCGATCAGCATTTATCGGGTTTGTGAATTTTTGTGTTTTGTTCTTCATATTTTCCTTCTTTACTTTTCAAACATTTCCCCTTTTCCTTTCAAAATATAAGAAATACTTTAAATGCTAATCGCTTCCTTTCATTCAACTGCATATCGTTAACTCTTACTGATGCAGTCAGTCTCAAAACTACACTTTATAAGAGAGCCAGTGTCATCCATACCATCATACAGTTAAACACAATTATTATGACTTAAACACGCTTATTCTCGCTATTAATAAAAATAGTATACATGTATGCCTGAATAAAAACAAACAGATGAGATGTTCGAACTCTTTTATTTTTATTTTAGTATACACTCACAACTTGCAACAGACAGCTGCTGGGGTTTATTAGAGAGTTGAACAAATGTTTAAAATATAATCTGATCATTTTTGGAGCAGGCTTCAGGATCTCCACGTATTAACATGCTGCTTTTGCTCCCGGTGAAAATGTTTCCTCCTGAATTTAAATATTTTTAATGTTAGATTTAATTCAAAGTCAGCTGTTTAAATAAGAACAGCACATATTACATCAGGGGATATGACAGGTGAAATATTCGGTTTAAAATATACTGACAGCTCTCCAAGTAAGACTCTAAACTGAAATAAAACGGTTCAGTTATGAAGAGCTTAACTTTAATCTCAGCCAAACACTAAGATGAACCAAACATGAACATTTCTAAGTTATCTAAGTGACATTTATGTCATGTTCAACCTGAGTTGAACATGACATGACGGTTTCTGCAGTAAAAAGAGTGGCATTGATCATCATGATCGCACCGGCAATGCAACTGAAGCTCAGAGCTGAAAGGCTCACAATCCAACCACTGAAGGACAGAGAGAAACACACAAAGATCAAACATACAAGAACACATACTGTGAAAATAGAGGTTTAAAATAGTATCCTCATTTGTCCCTAAAATTGAATAGGTATTGATAAAACAATATGTAAAGCAGGTATTAAATATGCACTTATTATCACCACCAAATTAAAGACTTTTGAAGAAAATGAGCCTTTTTTCAACTCGTTCCATTTTTATAGCTTATAACAACTATACATGCATGATACAGAGAACAAGCAATGCACCTAGAATGAACAAAGTGCATGGGCAAGAACAACAAATGTAGGAATCACATTGCTCAAAAGATTCAGAAAGAATTTTGTATTAGTTCATTAGCCAATATGATTGGACTACCTTTCTCTATAGTTAAAAATAAGATCCAAGTCTTAATACTTCCAAATGAGCAGGATTTCTAGTATTGTTTAGACTTTAACTGAGCCATATACTTTTGGGTTTTAATGCAATAGTTGCTTTTCTATCAGTTTGACCTACTGACTGCCAGCAACCACTCGCCAGCTAGTTTTAGCTGGGATAACAAAGAGATGTTTGTTTAGGTACCTTACCTGAACCCCCAACCAGGGATGCCGATGGTCATGATGACAAAGACAACCACTTGGGCAAAGAAAATGAAGAAGAAGGCAAAGAAGTTGAAGGAGCTGTCATTCCTAGAAGAGGGAACAATATAATTACTGAGCTGTCTGCACAGTAACTAACAACTCAGACAATTTTTTGTGAGTGTACTGAGCAAAAACCAAAAAGGAAAACAACTCTGAACTTCTTCACCAAGAAGGAGGTACACACCTGAAGGCTTTGTACACAGGTCGATACCAGCAGATAAAGGAGCAGGGAGTGAAAAGTACGACCCACAGGGCGGCGAGGCACAGACCAGAGCGAGCATCACTGGACAAGGTGATGCAGAACAGGGCCAGGGAAGAGGTCAGGTTGAAGAACAGCGTGCCTGTGCAGACTTGACATAGATAAGCAACAAAGAGACTATGAATAAAAAGGAAAAGAACTGCAGCCTGACTTTAGGGATCAAAACCAAACAATCCTTCTCCCTTTTGACTCTGGCTGATGCAATATGATGCCATTTTTCACAGGTACTGTTGTCGTCTGCTGCCTGGTCAAGATTTCAGAGTGTGACAGGCCGTTATTAAAAAAGCTCCACACTGTTTTTAAATCTCCTGTTCTTTGCATTTTCACACAGAAACTGCATAATGTAATCTTAATAACACTTTCACAGTTTTACAGGTGTCCTCAAAATCTGATAATTCTGCAAAAATCGAAATTATAATTATTAATGACACAAGCAGTTACAGGCTGTTTTTACTGGATACACCCTGTGACAGCTCAGTCAGCTGAATTGCATCAGCTCTTAAGAAATGATGCAATTTGATGCCATCTGTCCATCTGTATGGACAGATGGCAGGAATATGCCAAATATGGTACTTTTGGTGCTGTCCTTTGGCATCAGATACCAGACAGTATATCCTGCAGGTCTTAAAGCAAACAGTCCCCTCTAAAATCCCCTCTGTGAAACTTCACAAAATGCAGTTAGAAGTCCAATATTTATGCCCTCCATCATGTTTTCCAAAGCCATTCAGTGGTCCAAATTGGAATTTTTGCAAGGCCAATTCTGGCCTCCAGGCCTTATGTTTGACATCTCTGCTTTATCCATTTAAAACTGTAAAAGAACAAAACTAGAACTTGTTTCTGTTTTGTTTCCCTTCTATTTAGCAACATTTACTTTCTCTCTCACTTTCAAAATCCGTGTCAAGTGTCAGTATCAAGGAAATATTAAAGGCTCCTCTTACACTTTTTTCCTGGCCTAATCTAAGAGACAAGGTGTGGAGAAATTCTACAATTTCTCTTTGAAGGACTCAAGGAGAACTTCTGCAAGCTTAACCAGCTGGATTGGTTGTTTTGCAGATGCCCCATGTCAGTGTCCCCAAGTCTTTGATCTAACAGTAAAGCACGAGTCTTTGTACAAACATTCAAGCTCTTGTGCCAGACAGTGTAGGAGAAGTTACGCATGCACGAATCAGTGTTTACTGTCTCCAACTAGGAAGTCTTAAGTCTTGGGGGGAGGGGGGAAAATAAAGTCAAAAAACACTTTGGTGTCACTGGGATGTCATCAGTTCATTTCCTATTCGTTTAACAGGTGTTACAATGTATGAACACATCTGTTAGAGCCAATCTATAGAGAAATATCTTTGATACTGTTTCAGTTATTATGTTACATGTCGGGTAAGAAAACACAGCCATAAGTAAATTTAAGAATTTCAATGGATGATTATATTTCTCCCACTGAAAACCCTATGTCCAGAGGAACAAAATCAACTTTTGGGGATATTAGAACATTTCTTTGACAAAAAAAAAAGCAATCAGTGACAAGAAGTACTCTTTCTTCTGAAGAGTAGTGTAAGCTCCAGCATTGCAATGTCCTTTTTGAATCCTGACACCAGCACAATGTCACCCCTCAGTCAGTCTTTTTTCAATGCGCAGAGGGAACTTCAGCTACTATCAGCTGCCTTAGGTGCTCCTTAGGTGCTTTTATGAAGCAGATTAGGTTAGCTGGTGTTATCGCCAGGTACTTTATATAGAGTAACCAGTTATCCACCCTTCTTCATTTCATAATGAATCCAGCATCATGCACTCTGCTCCGTTGCACATATAAGTCTGGAAATGTGTTATATCCATGTTGTTATTATCTGTTTATAAACTCTGTTGAGTACACAAAGCAATGAAAAAAACTGGAGCCCAATTCTTTGTATCTGTGCATATACTTGATCAATAAAGCTGATTCTAAAAAAAAAAATGAACGTGGCTGGCTTCTTTTACTTGTGAAGCTGTGGGTGCTCAAAAATTGCAATAATCACGTACACAGTAAGAAATAAAAAATAATGTTGGACAAGGGTCTTTTAAATCTAAAGGTTTCAAATTCTCTGACTTCTACACTTAACTCCC